ATATATATATATGCAAAATTCCAATATTTAGAGGGTCACTTTACTATTTCTTGATAGCTAAGGTTTGGTAAAGTTTGATAGGTTATTGATGCTGAAGATTAAGATTCATAAATTTGTCCTTACTTTGTCTCCTAGATTCTTGATCCACTGTGACTTAGTTTTGGCATGTTCTTGTTATGTCCCATCAAGTTGCCTGCAACTCATGGTGACTCTGTGTACAACAGCTCTGAACCCTGCCCTATCCTTTGGCAACCCCGTTGTCTTTGACACACCTACTCCCATTAGTTCAGTCACTGAGTCAATCCCTCTCATTGAGGCTCTTCCTCTCTCGTGATTTCCCTCCACACTTCCAAGCATGATGTCCCTCTCCAAGGATTAGTTCCTCCTTGTAACATGCTCAGTGTATGTCAGACGAAGCTTCAGAATCCTTGCCTCCAAGGAGCAGCCTGGTTTCATTCTCTCTAGGACAACCTCTTTGTTCTCCTAGCAGTCGATGCTGTAATACCCTTCTCCAGCACCACAGCTAAAGGCATCAATTCTCTTTCTATCATCTCTAGTCATTGTCCAGCTTTCTGATCCATAGTAAGTAATTGCAAAGACAACAGCCTAGATTAGGTGCACCTTAGTCTCCAGACTAACATAGTTGCTCTTCAGTACTCTGGAGAGATCCCTGACTTCAGATTTCCCAAAGCAATTCTTTTGATTTCCTGGCTGCTGATACCAAGAGTGTTGATTGTGCAGCCAAACCAACTACGGTTGTTAACAATCTCAATCTCTTCACCATCTATCATGATGCTGCCTATCGGCCCCGGGGTGAGAATCTGTGTTGTTTTTGTTTTGTTCTGATGTTGAACTTTAATCCCTGTTTAGGGCTGCAGTCCTTTACTTCTGTAGCAAGCACTTCAAGGCCTCCTCAGTTTCAGCAAGGAGGGTTGTGTCATCTGCATAACACAGATTGTTGAGTTTTCTTCCAACCCTGATGCCACATTCCTCCTCATAGAGCCTAGCCTCCCAGATGATCTGTTCAGCAGATAGATTGAAAGTTAGGGAGCTAAGTCACATCCCTGGAGCACATCTTCCCAGTTTTGAACTTGCTATTTTGAATACTGTTTCCTTGCTCTGTTCTGATGGCTGCCTCCTGGTCCAAGTATAGATTTCCCAAAGGCAATCAATTGTTCTCAGATTCCCATTCTTCTCAGAGTCAGCCACAGTTTGTTGTGACCCACACAGTCAAATGCCTTTGAATAGTCAATGAAACACAGACATTCCTCTGATACTCTCTGCTATCAGTCAAGATCCATCTAACATTAGCTGTATTATTCCTAGTACCCTAGCCTCATCTAAACCCAGCCTGTACTTCTGGTAGTTCTCTGTAGATGTACTATTCTAGTAGATTTTGGTGAATTTTCAGCAGAATCTTGATTGCATTTCATATTAATAATATTGTTTGATAATTCCCACACTATAGAACATGAGATATGTGTATCTTGTTTGACTTTTTTTGCATATAGATTTCTAGTTTCTACAAGTCCATTTGTTAAAGAGGCTGTTATTTTCCCATTTAATGGACTTTATTTTCTTGTCAAATATCGATTAACCATAGATAAATGGGTTGTTTTCTAAGTTCTAACTCCTGTCCCTTTGGTCTATGTGTCTGTTCTTGTAGCACTAGCACAGTTTTGGTTAGTATGACTGTGTAATAGATTTGAGATCAGGAAGTATAGTGCATCTTAATTTTTTTCTTCTTCTTTGATAGAGCTTTGCTTATCCAGGATTTCTTTCCTTTACAAATTAAGTTGGTGATTTCTTTTTACATTTCTTTGTGAAATGATGTCAGGATCTGAATTTAGATTGCATTAAACCTGCAGACTGATTTAATTGGTGTTGACATCTTCACAATGATAAGTCTTTCTATCCATGAATATGGTATATTCATTCTTTCATTGATCTGTTTCTTTTTGTTTCCATGGATATAATAAACTTGTAATGAAATGATATTTGCATTGGAGAGGAGAAAGCCAGGAAAAGGGCAAGGAATGCTGAAGTAAAATAGAAAAACAGAAAACAAAGCAAAGATCCAGAAAATAAAGCAAAATATTATATTGAAAGGTAGAAAGGGCTGGATTTTAAAAACCAAAAGGGAAGAACATGGTTGGCATTTCTCAATCTCAAGTAACTGAAGAACAAACTTAAGACTTAAATTTCAATGCTGAAGGAGTCTATGGGCAAAAGATCAAATAATGCAGAAAACATCTAGAGAAGAAATACAGTCACTATACCCAAGAGAATTTATTGACACTGAATTTCTTCAGGAAGTAGCTTACGATCAAGACTCATTAGTACCAAAGGAAGAAGTTAAAGCTGCAGCAAATGCATTAACAAAAATAAAGACTCAAGAATCAATGGAATATCAACCAAAGCTTTTCAGGAAACATATGCAACCCTGTACCTGTCTCTGCAAACTAAGTCACAGATTATGAGGATGGCAGAAGATAGGATAGAGTCCAGATCTGTTGTTCTTCCGATCACTGTAAATCATATATTTAACTCAATGACACATAAAAACAACAATGTCAACATTGAATTTCAGGTGTTAAGTAGTCTGTTCAATTTGTAGTAAGTTTACAAAATAAACAAGTATTTTAAGCACTTAAAAATTAAATTTCTATCAAATCTGCTTCAGACAGAAGTAAATATTTTCATTAATCTACTTATCTTTTATGGCTTAAATTCAGAAGTTATCAGTACGTAAATAAAACATTTACATTGTCAGTTAAAATCCATGCAGTAGTACCACAGATGTAAACCCTGGTAATCTTCTTTCATTAAGATTACCACTTTTGTTTATTCAATTACAAGTATACAGCACATATTTAAAAGATTATGAGGGAAATAAGAAAAATCTGGCTCCTCAACCAGACAAAAACTTTGTCTGATTTTGGCTTTTGTCTTTGTTTAATTTTGTTTGTTTTTGTTGCTGCTTCTTGTTTTTATCATTTTTAAGAAACAAAGAAGATCTAGTGATCTTAAATATCTTGAAAATTTAAAATCATATTACTTTCAGTAACATATACCTTTTGTGTATTAAAATTAATATAGATCCATGGATCTAGGATTAAAACCAAAGACTATAAACTTCATTAAAGAAAAGCTTGGAAGAACTCTAGAAGTCCCAATCCACAACATAAACAGTCTTCCAAGTACCCTGAAAAATCTACAACCAGGAGAGGATAAAATAGATGAATGGGACCTTCTAAGAATTAAATCCTTGTGCACATCCAAAACCTTCTCCAACAGGGTAAAAAGGGAAGCCACAGACTGGGAAAAATATTTGAGAATGACATATCAGAAAAGGGACTTATATCTAGAATTTATAAAATACTCGAGCACCACAAGAAGATAAAAATAAACAACCCAACTGAAAAATGAGCACAGGATATGAACAGATATTTCACCAAAGAAGACATTCAAATGGCAAATAAATACATGAAGAAATGTTCAAAATCTCTAGCTCAAAGAGAGATGCAAATGAAAACAACTATGGGATATCATCTCACCTCAGTAACAACAACAAAATTTAACAGAAGAGCAAACTACAAATGCTGGCGAGGTTGTGGAGAAACTGGAACCCATATTCACTGTTGGTGAGAGTGTAAAATGGTGCAACCATTATGGAAGGCTGTATGGTGGTTTCTCAAAAAGTTGGAAATAGAAATACCATTTGACCCAGCAATTCCACTACTGGGAATATACCGTAACCACTACCCAAGCAGATATATGCACACCCATGTTTATCACACCTTTGTTCACAATAGCAAAGAGATGGAAAGAACCTAAGTGCCCAAGAACAAACAAATGGATAGAGAAGCTGTGGTACATTCACACAATAGAATATTACACTACATTGAAAAACAAGGAATTCATTAAATATTATACAAAATGGGTGACCATGGAGGACATTATGTTGAGTGAAATATCTCAGTTAAAAAAAGACAAATACAGCATAGTGCCACTGTTGTAAAATGGGACTGACATCAATGTTGGGGGGAGACTGAGAAAGATAGGATAAATGATATATACTACACTGAAACAGATGAGGGAGAGACCTGTTTAAAAGAGATATATGTTTAGGTATTGTTGTCATGACAGATGTCCAGAACAAAGGCAGGCTGCATAGTGGAGTTGACTTGGGGCGGGGGGAGGGATTGTATAACAATGAAAGAGTTTGGTGTTTTCTTTTTTTACTTTTCAAATTGAAGAGCAAACTAGGGCAGGGAAAGGGTGGACAGGGAAGAAAGTGCAACAATGAATGAATGGAAATCCAAAGTCTCTGTAAACTTTCATTAAAATTAATAATAATAAAAAAGAAAATATACATCATAAGAAAAATATTAATATAGATTGTGCAATTGTAGCCATTATTTTATATTGTTGGTTTTTATTTTGTTTTTTTTTTTGTCAGCGGCTTACACATAATGGGGATGCACCTGTAGCTGATGCAGTAAAACTCTACTGGGCATTTATAAGAACCAATCAGCCAGAAATTCTCGGTGTAATAATCACAGTGCTAGTCCACATCCTCCTGTTCATCATTTCTTCTTTGAGTTTTTACGTGTTTTGTATCAGGTAAGGCACATTGATTATTTTATTTTGGAAAATGTTCAGCTTCCAGTATTTTATACACACACACACACACACACACACACACACACACACACATGCATACTCTTAGATTAGAAGTACTGAAAGATGTATAGATGGAACCATCTTTGCATCTCTGTGATAGATTATTTCCTTGGTTGTGCAATATTCCATGATGATTGGCAAGAAACTCTTGAGGAAATATTTTCCTGTAGTTTAAAGAGCTAATTTTGCTATGAGTTACTAAATTCGTTTCTCCAAACTGATATAAGTATATTGAAATTGATATTCAAAGACAGTTTTGAAGATATACCAAAAAGCTTGTCTGATATTCTCTTTTCTCTTCCTCTTAATCTACTTTCTTCCCACTCTTCCCATACTTTCCAAAAACACCACCAAAGAAAAAAAAGTTTTTTTCAGTTTTGATCTTTAATATCATAATGTTTCTCCTGCCAGCTCACATATATATGGCAAGCCCCAAGCCCAAGCACACTGCCATCAAGATGATTCCACTTTATTATTTATAAATTTGTGGGGAAAGACAAGAGTTGTGGAATAGTTTGTACTTCACTACTAACCTAAAAGTTGACAGTTTAAACCCATCTAGAAATAAGTACTGGCAATATGCTTTCCTTAAGATTCCAATAAGTCAGACACTATGGAATAATTCTAACCTGAAGCAAATGGTGTCACTATGAACAAAATCAACTTAATGACAACATAGTTGATTGGTTGGTTATAAAAAAAATAGTAGGAAGTGGTTAATATGGAGCTGAGAAGAACAGAGAAGAAAAACCCCACACAGATGTGGAGAGAGGCAAAAAAAACAACAGCTACAGACCTCAGTGAACATACAGCACTTGAGATCATTTTGGAAAATTTAATAGAATTTAACTAGAAGAAAAAAAGAGGAAACATGTTCCTAGTCATAGGGAAGAATGCATATATGTTCACAAGAAAGTATGCCTATTCATGGACTATCAAAAGTACTTTGAAACAATTGGATTACAGGATAATGGTAGAAGAGAGTTGACTGAGGAAATATAAATGTAGTCAAAGAAAAGATGATAAGAAATGTCATGCAAAGGAACTTGGATTTATGCTAATGATGAAGTGAAATATTAAAAAAAAACCCAACTTTAAAATACTAAGAAGTTCACTTGTAGTAGAAAGGAAGATAAATTCAAGAGTTTAGAATTCCAAGTGTAAACCACGAAAATAAGCTTAGAGAGTGATTTTTACAGTTGTAGCAAAAAGTTCAAAAGCCTCTATTTCTAAAAGTTACAAATAAGTCTGTCTTAGAGAGGGTGAAACCAAGTCTCTCCTTTTAGGCCAGGACTTTGAAAGTTCGGTCCTTGGAGAAGGACATCATGCTCGGAAGGGTAGATGGACAGTATAGGAGAGGGAGACCCAGGATGAGATGGATTGATACAGTGCCTGGGGCAATGGGGATTGGTTTATCAGAATTAGTGAGACTGTCTCAGGACAGGGAAGCGTTCAGAGCTGCTATACATAGGGCCTCTATGCATCCCAGGCGACTTAATCAATAACACATTGTATGACGTTTAAAAGCAGAAGTGGCATCCACTTCCAAAACAACTTGCCTCCAGACACTCTATGAGCTTTGATAAATATTGATAGTTGTGGAGGGGTTTCAGGCCTTTTGTTCATAGGATGTCTATGAGTTGTGCCTGCCTCGAAGGCAATCAACAACAACAACATATAAAAAATGTAATATTGGGAGGACACTTACTATTTAAGAGACAGCATAATTTGGTGACTAGTTTGACTTTATAGGTGAAGGAGATGATAACATTTGGCAAAAATTTACGTTTTGAAGTTTAGTAGTTAGGTAGACAATTGTTTTGTTCCCAAAGACAGAGATTAGAGAAAGCAAATCTTTCCAAGAAATATATAAAGCTATATTTGCATTTATGTTGACTTAAAGATGACTCTTATATGGTCAAGGGTAAATATCTTGTGAGAAGCTGGACAGCTGAATGTAGAGATCAAGAAGAATACTATAAATTGTAAAATTATGCGATTGAAGATTTGAGATTCTTTTACTTGCAGAGATAATGATTGGATTGCTGTGGGATGGAGGACTGATTATGTTGTAAATGATAAGTGGTCAGAAAAAGATCTCAAAGAATTAATTTATTATGAATGCAACAAAAATAAGTGCAGAGCTTAATATGTAGAAATGAATATTACAAATGAAAAAATAATGTTGAAAATACAGGAGTTAAGGAAGTAAGGCCACTGAAGACATGAGGTAGAAAATGAAAACGAACTTTAGGAAATACACTTTAAGGAAAAGGATATTTTTTTCCCCTTCATGTCATAGGAAGTTACTTCTTTCCTTTTAGGATAATTTTGTTATGAAAGGATTCCATTTATTGGATGTTCCTGACAGGGAGCTGAGGGGAAGAGTTAAATAAGAATGAGTTGGTCTTAGGTGCCATGAATAGGCTTCCACCCTCTGGAGACTCCATGCGAAATTAAATGAAATGCTATTAAGTCCTGTCCCATTTCCACGATCAGTGATAAATTTAAACATTTGGTTACATAGGGTTTTCTTGACCTAATTTTTTTTCTACTAGTTTATTTACAAAACTCGAATACAAATTTGAACAAATTCTTTCAATTTCCCTGACCCCCCTCACCCATCAAATTGTACAACCCAATGATTAATTCCTCCTCCCCCAGCACATCCACATCCCTCTACTTCCATCCTTTCCCACCCTTCCTGGATTCTTATATTCATTCTACAATAACAGTTTTATACAATATTTATCCTTGTGGAACTGAAGTCGTTAACTCAGTATAATGCTCTCCATTCTTTCATAAGTTAGGTCATAATTTTCAAAGTTATTGCTCCTGCATGCTGCATAGTATTCCATTGTTTGAATGTACCATAATTTCTCGATTCATTCATTTGTGTTTGGACATCTGGGCTGTTTACATGTTCTCGTGATGGTGAAAAATGCTGCTGTGAACATTGGTGTGCAAATCTTAGTTTGTGCCTCAGTTCTAATTTTTAGAGACATTTCTCTTGGTCTTTGTTCCTAGTCTTTCTCAATCTGAAAACTCCACTGATGCCAGAAACTGTTGAGTATCATAGCAACACATACACCTATGTTGTCAAAAAAATGGCAGATACTTGAGGGACAATACCTGAGAATCTAGCCCAGATATTTCTCATAAAAGGCTAGAATTTTGACATAAAGTCAAGTGATATTCTCTATCACATTGTTGCTATTGTTACAAGCCTGCTACTCATAGCGACCCAATGTGCAATAGCTCTGGATTCTGCCCTATCCTGAGCCAGTCTCACTGTCTCTCACACACCAACCTCCATTATCCCAGTTACTGTGTCAATCCATCATACAGGGTCTTTCTCTATGTCATTGTCCCTCTATATCTCCAAGCCTGATGTTCCTCTCCAAGAACTGGTACCTTCTGAAAACATGTCCAGAGTCTTGCCTCCAAAGAGCAACATGTTTCACCCTCTCCAGGTCAGACTCTTTTGTTCTCTTGGTAGACCATAGTATTGTCAGTACTCTTCTCCAACACCACACCTAAAAAGCATTGATTCGTCTATCATCTCGAGTTATTGTCCAGCTCTCTGATGCACAGCACATATTTGCAAAGACCGTGGACAGGATCGGGCGCATGTTGGTCTCTAGATTGACATCATTACTCTTTAGTACTCTGGAAAAATTCTTGATAGCAGAATTTCCTAAAGCAACTTGTCATTTGATTTCCTCATGGCTTGTGCAAAAAAATGTTGATTAGGTTCTGAACAAGCTGAAATTGTTAACAATTTCAAACTCTTCTCAATCTATCATGCTGCTGCAATTGTCACACTGTTGAGAATCTTGGTTTTCTTGGTGCTGAGCTGAAATCCATATTGAAGACTGAAGTTTTTGTCCTTTTCAACAAATGCCTCGGGTCTTCCTCAGTGTCATCAAGAAAGGTTGTGTTGCCTGCATAACACAGTTTGTTGATGAGTCTTTCTCTAATCCTGATGCCACATTCCTCCTCAGGAATCCAGCTCCCCAAATAATTTGCTCTGCATGTAGGTTGAGAAGATATTGAGCCATGACACATCCCTGACATGCTTCCTTCCTGATTATGGACTATGCAGACTTGTTCCTGATATAAGCACAGGTTTTGTGTGAACACAATCAAGTATCCCAGGATTCCCATTTTTCTCAAAGTGAGTCACAATTTGCTGTGGTCCACACAGTCAAATGCCTTTGCATAGTCAATGGAAAACAAATAGACATATCTCTAGTACTCTCTGCTATCATCCAAGATCCATCTGACATTGGTCGTGTTGTCTTTGGTGCCATGGCAATTTCTAAAGCCATCTTGTATTTCCGGTAGTTCTCTGTTGATATACTGTTCCAGTCATGTTTGTATAATCTACAGTAGAATTTTGTTTGTAGGTGGTATTAGTGATATTGTTCAACAATTTCTACAACCTGTTAGATCTTTTTTTTTAATTTTTTTAGAGTGGAAATAAATAGATCTCTTCCAGTCAGATCGCCAGGTAGTTGTCTTCCAGATTTCTTGGCATAAATGGTGTGTGCTTCCAAGGCTGCATCAGTTAATTGAAACAAGTCATTTGGTATCCCATGGATTCCTGGGCCCTTATTTTTTATTAATGCCTTCAATGCAGTTTACACTTCCTTTTTTTCATTACCATTGAATCTTGTTTATATGGTACTTCCCTGAATTTTTTCATTGTCAATCAACTCTTTCTGGTACAGTGACTCTGTGTATTACCTCCATTTTCTTTTGAGGTTTTCTGGGTCATTAACTATATTGCCCATAGCATCTTTCAATATTGGGACACATGCTTAAATTTGTTTCTCAGTTCTCTCAGCCTAAGATATGCAGAATGAATTCTTCCCTTTTTATTGTCCAATTCCAGCCCTCTGTCAATTTGCTGGGATTACTTGGGATTGCTGTGATAC